GACGTTTCATTACCCAACTAGGTAACATCATCAGTGCTGTTGAGTGTGGGGTTTGCTCCCTATTTATATACAGTAGCTTGCCCTGCCAGTGTTGGTGGGGGACCCCCAACGATACCCTAATCAATAATCTATATCTATAATCAATAATCTAATCAATACCCTAATCTAATCAAGGAAACAATATCCTAATCAAGGCACTACCAAGGAGAAAACCATACCTCCATCAACACTGGCAGGGCAAGCCACTGTATATAAACAGGGAGCAAACCCCACACTCACTAGCGATGCTGATGTTACCTAGTTGGGTAATGAAACGTCTGCAAGAAAACCACCAAGCTCAGAAAAGGACTCCACTAAAGAAATTCTTTACTGATTTCTGGCAGCAGCCTCTGTCCTGGCATGCTAGTCTGATAAACTGAGCCTGCTCTCAACCCGCATCACACTAAGCCATTATTTATTTTACTTATGGTTTGTTCAGTAAGCTACTATGGGTGAGTTCATCCTTTCCAGTAAAACTGTAACTTGCAAACCATAGATTCACACACTAAATCAAAACTTCAGTTAGCTCTTAGCACAATTTTGGGACCCGGCGCCAAAATTAAGCAGGATCGAGGTTTGTACGATCAGCATGACTATTTTACCTGGCTAGCAGATTTCAATGGTTGTATTTCACTTTGAATTTTACTTTTATCACACTGAACGGAAGCAGCTATTTGCCTGGATTTCTGTCTACTAGCAACACAAAACTCCAACCTGGAGGGGAATTTAATCCAAACTTCCCTCAATTCCTTTGGGCCACCCTCCCAAAACATCGTGCATAAAATGAGAGAACTGCTGTCTTAAAACCCAATACCGTAATCATTTATTCTTGTTTATGCAGCAGTAACGTGACGGGGGTGGCTGTGAAGATGTAGTAGAGACCTAAAATTAGAACGACTCCCTTCCACGCTGGTGCTCTCCAGATGCAGCGCTAAAAACTGTCCAGAACCCCCATTTCATCCTAATCGCTTGGAATTATGGAGGCCAACAAGTCCAACAGCCCTGCAGGGTTGGCACAGAATGAAACTGCCGGCCTTTTGCACCCCAAATCTGCGGTGGGGCGTTCAGAATTATTTCCACGCTGTGTTTGCGTTGTGCCTGTTAAGACTGGAGCCACAATTGTTGCCCACACTGTTGCCTGTCGGGCAAAGGCAACCCCAGAGCCATTCCTTCTTCTGCTCCTCCTTGCCCGTTCTCTCCCAGCTGTGCCTTGCAGCCCTATCTCTTGTCCCGCAAACGATCCGTTCGCACAGAACACCCTTAACCCGGTTCTTGGATTGACCCATTTCCCGGGTTCGTGCAAAACCCAGAACTATAGGGGCCGGGCTAGCTCCGCCACAAGCAAAACAGTTCTTGCCCAAGTTAACAATAACCAGGATTAGTTTTGCAAAAACAGCTGCACGCGCTCGCTCTCCCCGCTGACCTAAGCGCGCGCCCTCCCCCGCCCTAAACCCTCCGAATGCGCATGCGCCGCTCATCTCCCGCTTCCCTCCGGTTCCAAGCGGGGTGGGCGATGCTTCTGCGCCTGCGCTCTCCGCCTCAGCCACAAGAAGTTTCGCGAAGGATCCCGAAGCTGCCGCTCGGCACCTTCCGGAACGAGGAAGAGGCGGAGACTTCCTTCCTGTCAATCAGTTAGTCAGTCGTGAGCAGGGCGGCCGGTGTTTCTCCTCGCGCGGCGTCTCCTTTCGGCGGCCATGGCTCTGCTCTGCTACAACCGGGGATGCGGACAGCGCTTCGACCCCGACGCCAACACGGAGGGTGAGTGGCCTCCCCCGCGCCCCGAATCGTCGGCTTGCCGCCCTCCAGAGAGCTGGGACTACAGTCCCCATGATCCTCAGACAGCACGGCCGGGAGAGCGAGCGGGCGGTTGGCGCGAGGGGATTTAGAGCCCCAGCCTCTCAGGAGGGAAGGCCGTGCTGTGGGTGCTTATGGGGATGGTAGTCCCGCCAGCCTGGGGAGGGCGAAGGGGGTCGTGGAAACTTTATTGTTGGGTGAAGGTGGAGCCATGCCTTTTGGGTTTATCCTTCCTCACGGGGTTGTGGGGAGGGAAGAAGACCTCAGAGGAAGGGGGAAGCCTGCCAAAAAGCCAAGACCAGTGTGCCTCAACCTGGGCCACTTTGAGATGTGTGGACTTCAACTCCCAGAATTCCCCAGCCAGCAAGGTCCACGCATCTCAAAGTGGCCCAGGTTGAGGCACGCTGGTCTAAAGTCTCCTTTGAGTCCAGCTTGACCCCTGACTTTATGGTCCTCTCCCTGCCTTTCTGTTGACAACTGCGTGGCAGGACTACCTTCTTCCGGGATGGCCTTTTGACCGCCTGGCCAAGCGGACAGCTGTGGGATTTGGTCTGACCCTGTTTGGTCTGTCAAGGTCCCCTAAAGTCATTAGTGGTAGTCATTTGCTGTTAACCCTGTAACACAACCTTATTGTGTTCAACAATGCATGAGTGGTTCATCACTGCCTTTTTTTCAGGGTATTCTTTGACTTCTCCGTCTAGATGCCTCAACGCCTGTCTGGCCTACAGCCCTGATAGTCCACTAGCTGTTTTTTTGAGATCTGCAAAAGTTGGCTAGGGATAAGAGAAGAAAAGAGGGGACTTTTATACATTTGCTGAACATACCATGTGTGTGGATTTGGCTTGCATGCAGAGTAACTCAAGGTGGCTGGTTACTCTGATCAGCTGGAGATGTCCTCTCAAGATGTCCCCCACGGCCAAAAGCTTGGTTATGACAAGCTCTTAATTATTCATTATTTAATGGATGGCTTTTAATTTTAGTATTGATTTTAATTGCATGAATCTTATGGTTGCTTTACATTCTGTCTTTGTATTGCCATAAGCTGCCTTAAGTGTTGCAATGAAGTAAAATAATGAATAAATAACTGGCATTATATGGTAATTTGGAGCATGTAGGGGCGTGCATTTCTCACCTATTGGCAACTTCTTAAAACAACTGTACCTTTTCCTAAGATTGTACAGCTGCCCACTGTATCTGCAGCACAATCCCAGTAAATGATGTGTGACAAGTTCCAACAGGTGAAAACATGTGGGTTCCTTTGTGCTCCATTATCAACTTGTCCCCCTTCAGATCTGGATCACTGTACATCCCTAGTTATATAATGTAGCATGTGGGATATTTGCAACTGCTTTTTGTGTGAGCATTCTTATCCTCCTTTTGCATATGTGCAAATGTTTAATGATGGCCTCTAATACATAAACAGAAATGATTGTCTTGTTAAGTACTTTTCCTTGATGTTTGTAGGTAAATAATATATAGAAGAAAGAATAGAAATCAGGGGATGCAAATGTGTATGTGGTGCATTGAGGTCCATGTGTGATGCACAATAAAATCTATATTCTTTGTGTTTATCTCTTTTTTCCATGTCTCTTTTCAACAACAATTTCCCCCACATCTTTTCACCTTACTTTGTGATAACCTTAAAGAAGACTCCTTTGCCAGAATGAAACTGCATGAATTGAGTGGTTGAAGTACCTGCAGTAAGGAGGGTGGGTGAAGATGTATGCCCTAGCCTTGCTGTGTTCTTATCTCCTTCCATGTCTTCTGTTCCTAGGAAGGCAGTCAAATGAGAACCCTGGCTTTCTGGAGTTCTAAATTATTCACAATGTTTTCCCAAACCGGAGAGGTTCTCTTTAGCAGGCAGTCACGCTCTACCTGTAGAGGGTTGGCTACGACATAGTAGGGGGCTAGTGAATGTAATGTACAGTCAATTCTCAATATTTGTGGTAGTTACCTTCTATAAAATTGAAGTGAACACTGAATTAATGAATGCTGAATCTTCAGCTGTGAACGTGTGTGTTGGGTGACTCAAATTTTTGGCTGCTCTGGTTGTCTGCAAATGACAGCAAAAGCACTGCAAGTATTGATTTGCAGTTACAAAAAAAATTAGCAAGTAGGCAAATTCGCAAATATGGAATCTGAATATTGAGAATCAACTGTATTTATTCCCATTCCCTTATCTGATGTTTAGATGTTACATACCTCTTGAATGTGAAGTTCAGTGATTGTTTTGCTAATCCTTTCTTTTTAAAGTATGATCTAACTATTTGTGAGGTAATACTATAGTTTCTGTGGACTTTACATGTTAGTCATTAAGAAAGAGTTATTTCTCTTGCACAGATAATATTTCAACTTTATTTTAGAAGATAAGCTTGAGCAGTATATATGATATGCTGATCTGGAATATAAGTTGTAGCGCTTGGAGGGATGTGTGTGTCAAACAATTGAAACTTTAATATAACAGAATTATCGTTCACCAAGAAAAATCTCAGAGAGATTTCTTTATATAGCATCGTTACAAGTATTATTATATAATATACTGTAATAACTAAATGACATTCTCTTGCCCTGAATAGCATAAATTCTAAATTTAGACTACCAAAACACAACAGAGATGAGGAAGGCAAGGACATTCAGTCAGTAAAGGAAAGGAACATATAGGGAATTACATGCTTTATTTCATATCTCTGTTTCATTTCAGTTATGGGTGAAGGCTAAGAATGAGGGTTTCATGGAAGATGCAGAAGAGTACTATATTTGTGTGGGTCATTGACCAAATAAATATTACTTATATGCAGTTTCCTTCTTCAACTTTGTGATGTGTTGTATTACAAACCTCACTATCTCCAGGGATTGGTTTTAGATCAAAGTATGTTCTGTGCTATGTTTAACAGGCCTGCATATGTTTAAACAGGTAATGACTGCAATCCCTTTACTTGAGATAAATAACAGAAATTTAAGGCAAGCTGAATATTTTCTGAACCTATATTAATCTGTGACCTGTTTGTTAAGGGAGAGTAAAGGCACTCTAAGATGTGAAGAGAAACTGTTGTTCTTTCCAATCCAAGATAAATGTTTGTTTTATGTATTTCCAATATTTATATCCCACCCCAATTCTCATAGACTCTAGGTGAGTAACAAGGTGTGAAGAAATAATTAAGGGCCAACAGCCTAAATAGTGGAAAGAAATTATGTAAAGGGGCTCAAGACATCGGATTGATAACCCTGAACAGAATGGGAACAGATTTTGTGTGTATGAAGAGGAGCTGGCCAAAGAACCATGAAGATCAAAAATGGGCCTGATCGGGCCAGGGGCTGAAGAGAATAAATGTTTGCAAGCCTATTGGAGAAGCAGCTGGGCAGTGGCAGTTGGGCTTGGAACACTGAGGGCTGTTCCTTTTGAAGCCCTTCTCCCTCCTGTTCAAGTGATCCAGAGAAGAGCACGCATAATTTGCCTTTTGCTGCCCCATACACATACCCAGTCCCAAACCCATGAGGGGAGAGCTAAGACACAGGTGTGACACATTGCTTGACTACACAGAAGAAAATACAAATGCCTTCCATGGCCACTGCTAGTAAAAGGGTTGGAAAGAGTTCCAGAAGCCAAGGTTTTCCCCACCTTTTAAATACTTGTAAATCTGGGAAGAGAAATATAGAACTGATTTTTTTCCCATGTTGTCGTATTAATATTTTGTCTGACTCCATTTGCAATACTAGTAGCCTCCCCATGGCAATACCTAGCAGGTCTTGACTTATTTTGCAAAAGCAAAATATGGCTGTATCTAGCAATTACTTGGACGAAAGATCCCCAGGAACTTCTAGGGTTATGGACTAAAACTGGGATGTCTGAAAACCTTACCAGAAAACTGCCATGGCAGATCACTTCCATGTAACTGCCGACAACATGGATTGTCCATGCAGTCACCAGGAATCAAGTTCATCTTGAAATTAACTTCACCTTGCTTGTTGATACAAGATGTGTCACACGTATTGTTTGAATGGAAGCTTACTGTTTAAAGTACCTTGTTAATCTCTCCTTCTGAAGCTGAGATGCAGAAATAAGTATTTGCAGAGCTGATGATGAAAAATTGGAAGGGAACTAGGACTGTTGGCACATTTTTGACACCAGCAGATGGTGGAATTTCATATATGCGTTGGCATTTTTTTCCCCTTGAAATCTGTTTACATTGTCAGGAGACGGTACCTAAGATTAAAGTTTGCCAACATTTAGAATGAGATCCATAGAGTAGTGTCAAGTAGCGTCACGGCGTTTTGCCTTCTTTGCTCTTTCAAACATCATTCTTCTCAAGATAAATTTTTTGAAAGTCCTGTTTCAAATAGGGTTTCCCAGGAAGTATGAGTGAATGTTGACAAAGAAGGACAAGCCCAAAGCCCATAAGACATACAGAACTAGTTACTTCTTGTTTTGGATCCTGACCTTGGACTGATGATTCCTTGCATTTGGTTCGTACTAAGATAACTTGCCTTACAAGCTATACTACCATAATTAAGTAAAATTGGGATAGGGCTCATATCAAGCCAGCTGTCAGTTTAGAGATTAGTAAAAAAGAATAAAATTACCTAGTAAGTTCTTCCTTCAACTTGTTCAACATTATGTTACCTGGTGAAACAATAGATGTCTGCTGCCATTATAGCCCATGAATTTATTTTCCTTACCCTGTGTGTGTGTACTTTTTGGTTTTTGTAGATCAGACAGCATCTGAGAACATTATCTGAGAAAACACTAGAGCAAGTATCCTCTAAAATAAGTGTTCTGTAACTCTAAAAGCTTCCTAAATACTGTTTTAAGCATTTAATATATCACTAGCTGGCACTGGTCTTGTGGAATACTTGAAAATGTTTTAATTGCTGTCTCATAAGACTAAATTGTTCAGCTAAATACTGCTCATGTAATGTTCCACTGAGTTTGCCTAAGCTCTGCTTTCTTTTCCTTTTTTAGAGTCATGCATATATCACCCAGGAGTACCCGTCTTTCATGATGCTCTTAAAGTAAGTGGGCAAACATAATTATTTCAAAGGCTTTTAAAAAGCTTCAACTAAATAATACTAATTGCAGTTATTTCAAGTGTTTTCATGACCTCTGTATCAGTTTACCTGAGTATAGCAGAACTCCTATTTTTTTTTTTCCTAAATTCCTCAAATAATACTGGCCCTCAGTATAAATACATGTTAAATCATGGGAAAAAAAGGTTGGCAGATGCAGCCAATTGAATTGTGTTAAATGATTTTCAGTATATTATTTTATTTGGCTCAGTTGAGGAAAAGGGTATTTACTAGGTGTGATTCATATTTTGATTGTAAAGTTAATTAAATGGCTTCATTGCTTAACCAAGCCTGAGTTGGGCAGTACAAACAGAGATGAAAAGAAGTGATGCAACTGAAATACCAAAAAATAGGAATCATGCCAAATAAATAAATTAAGATTAATATGTCATTTTCAGGTTAGTGTTCAGTTTTCTCCTTTGTAGTTCACTTGTTCTTTAATAATAGTCACTAGATGAGAATTAAATGTTTGATGTGGCCATATTTTTACAGGGCTGGTCATGCTGTAAAAGAAGAACGACAGACTTTTCTGATTTCCTAAGCATTATGGTATGTATTACTAACTATATAAGTTTTTTTATCCGCTACAGTATGGTATTGATGCTTGAGTGCCAAATTCAATCAATTAAACTTTCCAGTAAGGCAAACAGATGCAAAAACTGCCTGGGTTCATCTAATTTCCTGCACATGGCACATTGTGTATAAATTGAAGCGTTTATTATCTAAGGTATTAAAAGCACAGGAACTCTGGTGTTCTAACATCTTATACTACCGTGAAGAACAGAGGTTTGTATTGGTGTATACATATGGTAACTCTAAGAAAGGAGACATTTTCAAGTACATTGATAGAACTGAATATATTAAATAAAATCTGTGTTTTTACAACAGGGTTGCACCAAGGGTTTCCATAATAGTGAGAAGCCTCCTGAACCAGTCAAACCTGAAGTGAAAACTACCTCTGAACGAAAAGAATTAGCTGATCTGAAACCTAAATTTCAAGAGCACATAATTCAAGCACCAAAGCCAGTAGAAGCAATTCGAAGGCCAAGGTATTGTATTAAGACTGCCGTTAATGTCAAATCAACTGCATAAGTTATAACTTTATTTTTGTTGGGCAGGCAGTTCCCAGGTTAAGAACGTCTAACTTATGGACACCTCATACTCCCAAATGGGCTGCCTATTACTAAAAATGGTGGACAGTGTTCTCCCTCAAGCTGACGAACCACTGAAGCCATGCGTTTTTAATATACAGCCTGTTTTCAGCGGTTCATGAAAACATTGCACAGGTTCAGCAGTTCATCGGCCCGAGGAAGGAAAACACTGTCTACCATTTTTAGTAATGGGCAGCCCATTCATAAGTACGTGTTCCAACTTACATACAAATTAGAGTTAAAGTCAGACTTAGGAACAGAACTCATTCTTGAACTGGGGATTGCTTGTACTTATTACTTACAGTTATCCCCTGGATGTCTAAATGTATTTTATTTTACTTCTTTTGCTGGAGGAGCCCAAAATGTTTGTACACCAATCTCAGATAAAACCTTATATCTATAATCCTTAAAAAGAATATACAAATTAAAGCAAGGATTACTTTAGGAAAGAAAAGCAATATTAAGGGCAATCTAAAAAACACTTTATTTCTGAAGTAACTGTTATCCTATAGGTGCATTGGATGAACAAATACATTTTCTATGAACAGTATGCTGGCCAGCCAGACTTTGAAGAGTAACTGAAAGTTTTGGTGCTATCACTGACTAGTTCTTGTTCCTGATCACTATTACATAAGCCAGACCAGGCTGTGTGGCCATAAGCAGGGGCTCCTCAGTGAATGTTAGTACATGGTTTAGATGGTATTAGGAGAAAGAAATGTTTTAAGTGGAGTCCTTGGTACTCTCTGACCTTGCTTGTTTGCTTGCAGACATTTCATTACCTGACTAGTAAAATCATCAGTGCGAGGAGGGGTGGGGTTTGCTCCCTCTTTATATACAGTAGCTTGCCCTGCCAGTGTTGGTGGGGGTGTGGTTTTCTCCTTGGTAGTTCCTTGATTAGAGTATTGTTTTCTGCTTGATTGTTTGTCTGGTGTTAATCCCTGCTTATCTGGGTGTTGGGTAGTTCCTTGATTAGAGTATTGTTTTCTGCTTGATTGTTTGTCTGGTGTTAATCCCTGCTTATCTGGGTGTTGCTTGCTGGAGAGGACGTGTTCTAGTCTTTTAGTTTCCTTCTTAGCTTTTTTATTGTCTCTGTTGAATGGTGTGTAAATGTGGTTTATCTCTATGTGTCTATTGACACTTGTACAGATGCCCAAAAGTACACAAGCCTGACATACCTCTTTGTCCAATTGTATTATTACCAGGGACCCCAACATACAACATGTCCAAGCTTTTTTGTAAGATCTTTGGCTGTGTCACAGAGGGGAGCAAATATTCTATCAACTCCCCACTAGAGTGCCTCCAGAAAATCAGAGTCCTAAAAATGAAAAAGATGAAATTATGGTTTCCTTCGATATCACAGCACTTTTTATGTCCATAGATCTAGAACTAGCGAAAGAATGCATGGTAACAGTACTATACAATACACCTGACCTAGTCAATACACTAAGATCAAAATACACAGAATCATGGACCTCATCAACCTCTGCCTTACTACCTATTTTCAGTTTGATGGATAAATATGCCAACAATTCAGAGGAACACCCATGGGATCACCAACTCTCAGGACTCATAGCAGAGACCATAATGCAGTGTCTAGAAACTATAGCACTCCCACATATATAATCAAAAGTATGGATCCAGTATGTAGGTGACACCTTCATCATAATAAAAAAAAGGAACAACTAGAGAAGATACAAGCATCAACATATTCTTGAAAGGAATAAAATTCACAAGGGAAGAAGAAAACAACATACTACCCTTCCTGAATATCCTCATCAGCAGAGGAAACGACAGCAAATTAGAAATGCAGGTCTATTGAAAAACAACTCGTACTAACCAAGTGCTCCATTACCAAAGTAACTACCTAACCTCCCACAAGAGTTGTGTAAGAACATTATTCAGATTAGTACAAATGCACTGCAGCAACCCAAAACACACACAAAAAAGGAAACAGACCGTCTATACAACATCTTCCAACAAAATGGATACCCACTCAACCCACTACAGCACAACCAATACCAGCTATGAAAAGGATAATACTATGATAACATCAAAAACATCTCAGAAACAACCAATAGACTGTTACAACCGCATGGCATCACCGTAGCACACAAACCAACTAAAGCCTTAAGATGTTTTAAGATGTTTTGGTTTTAAGAAACATCTTAAGTAAACCAAAAGAAACCAATAGCCCAAGAAGAAAAAACAGGAGTCATCTACAACATACGGTGTAAGGACTGTAACAGCCACTATGTAGGACAGATAGGCAGAACACTAACAGAGCACCTCCGTGAACACCAACCAGCAGTCAAGACACAATGAAAACTCCTTAATCTCACACATGGACAGACTCAACCATAGTTTCAACAGGGAAACTGTGAGCATCCTAGACCAAGCTAAATCCAAAACCGCTAGGGAATTCCTGGAAGTTTGGCATTCAGACAAAGCAGCCATCAATAGACACATAGAGATAAACCACATTTACACACAGTTCAAACAAGATAATAAAGCTAAGAAGAAATTAAAAGATCAGAACACATCCTCTCCAGCAACCAACACCCAGATAAGCAGGGATTAACACCAAACAGGCAGAAACCAAAACCCTAATCAAGGAACTACCAAGGAGAAAACCATACCCCACCAATATTGGCAGAGCAAGCTACTGTATATAGACAGGGAGCAAACTATAACCCACTCACACTGATGATGTTACCTAGTCAGGTAATGAAATGTCTGCAAACAAACCACCAAACTCAGAGAGCACCATGGACCCCACAGTTCAACCCTGAGCTACATGTATTATCTTCTATTGGAATGTTTTAAGTATTCAGTTCCAAGGATTTATAAACTAATATAATCAACTTAAATTGGGCCTGGTTTCCAGACTCTGTGAAATAGTCCCATTTAGTCATATCATTTAACAATTGGTCATCTGTACCAGCTGCATTTCCAAACCATCTTCAAGGATAGCCTTGTGTAGAATCCAGTGCAGCGATCCAGTTGTGAGTATGGTTATTAAAGTATGAATCACTGAAGGCAGGTTGTTTCATTTCATGTAGATTCATAGTTGCCACATTATAACTGGGTATATATTACTGAAGCCATTGTGCCAATAGTAAGAGACTGGAATCAAGGAGCTACCTTGTCCAGAACAAGCTGCCATAAAATTGGACCATTAATTCCTAATCCTGTGATTAATGTGTCAAAGTCTGCTGACATATCTAGAAGAATTATGATAGCGCACTCTGATGTTCTCTCTCTTATTCTCTCTCATTAAAAGTTATCAATCAGTGTGGCGAAGCCTATTCCCCTGTTATATCCAGGCCTGAAGCCAGAAAGAAAGAGATATAAATAATGACCATATCCTTAGTAGTACTATACACTTTTGGAGTATGGCTCTCAGCATATTACATTAAATCTGATCGGGCCACTGAGTTGACAGAACTTACGACCCTGCTAGAGCTTAGCAATAGGTGTGGGTCTTGAATAAGTATACATTTTACTTGCTGTTGGGTGATTTTCAACTAAGAATTCACTTTATGCAAAGAAAATGGCTATTATGATTGTGCCAGAATATCAGTTTGTACTAGAAGCCTGGGAAGATGCCAAGGCTTCTTCCTACTAAAACTCCCTAAGCATTTTCCTGCCAAAACCCCTTTCTGCCCTCACTCACACTTTGAAAATTATGTTGCGCAGTTCTAGTTGTACATCTTGTCTCCCACTTACTTCCATGCCTCCATTAGCCACTACTGTTACTATGGCCAAAACGGGCATCAGCTTCTTGTTCAGCCCCTTACCCAGAAGGAAAATAAAAGGACCTCTCTAGCACTAGAAACAAGGTTAGACATAATACATTGTGCTGAAACTAGGGGAGGATCCTCAGCCCTAGGACAAGCTTTTAATCTGGTCAAATCTATTACCTCCAATTTAACTACGAATGCTAATGAAATTCATATGGCTGTGATGCATTTTGCCTGTCCATCTATCATGACAATCACACATTAGAAATCCAGCTGGAGAAAAGATGGAGAAAAGATGAGAACGAGAGACAGGGAAGAAATTGTGTTTGAGTTACATAGCGCTAAGAATAAGGCTCTAAAATGAGCGCATTTGTCAATGTGTGCAGGTTGCCAAATT